AGCAGGAAATGCAGCAGGTGGAGTTGAGAGAAACTGGGAAAAAGAGTCCCTTGGGTGGGACCATGGCTGCAAACCTGGCGACAGCATCCCTGAGGTCATAGGCCGTGGGCAGGTGGAAGCCTTCCTGGTGGTTTTCGCCACACATCTGGCCATCACACATCTGTGCTGGTGACAGGGCTTCTGTGATGACAAACCCATAGTCTGGCCCTGGCCTTCTTGGGGCTCGGGGAGACAGTTATCCAGCCAGTTCCTCTGAGGAAGTGACAATCGCTATTTGAGTGCAGAAAGCACCTGTCGTCTAAGATCCTCAAACCGTTTCCATTTGCAAGTGTCCAGAGCCATATTAAGAATGGTAGCAGCAATGCCAAAGAAGGATTACAGTTGGAGGTAAGAGCCATGACCATGCCATGGGGGAGCCCTCTGAGGGCAGGGGGTGCAGGCCAGCTGCTTCCTGGGAATGAAGACAACTTGTCGCCAGAGCCCAGGGAGGCAGGACCGAGCTAGGGAGGTTAGCTCTGCCCCTGTGGCAGGGGAGGCCCTCAGGGTCTTACAGATCTGGCGATGACTCCAGGCTGGGAGCCCCGGGGCGCTCTGGTGAGTGTAGCCTGGGGCAGCAGGCCACAGGCAGTGGCTCCAAGTCAGACTGGGTCCAAGCAGCCCCCAACATACCACCAGCTGCTCATGCTGGACGTGCCTGCGTAACTCAGGGGAAGGTGAAACATCCACCCGCCATCCTCAGGAATCCTGGCAATCGCCCTCTCTATGCATCTGAGAGTGAATGCAAGATTTAAACATTTGCCTCGGGAGGACAAGGTAGAAATGCCATGGTTTTGGAGTCAGGAGAGCTGGGTTCCTTAACTAGGTGACTTTGGGTGAAGTGTCTTGTAAAGCCTCAGCTATTTTCCCTGAGAAATGGCATGATGGCACTAACCTGCTACGAGATGCAATAAACACATGTAAGAGTGAGAAAAGATGTGGCGAACTAATGATGTGCTTCCCGGACTCAGCCCTTCCTCCACTGGGTGCCAGTCGTGGTGGGCTGGGCCAGCAACCGGGTGGCAAGGGAGAAAGTGTGGAGTGGAGAGCAGGAAGCAGAGGTCACCCCTGCAGAGGGGTTGTGGACGGGGCTCCAGGTGGCTGGTTTAGAATGGGCAGATGGCATGTTAGACCTGGAAGGCCTGGTCCCAGGCCTCTCAAAGCATCCCTGGGCATGGGCCACCGGGTGTGGTGTGGAAGGTCATGCTGCCTTTAAGGGCCCAAGAAGAAGGCGTGCAGAGAGCAGAGACCTGGGAGGGGTGACGAGCACAGGGCTGGCCCCGCACTGCTGGCAGAACAGGCTGGTGGATGTTTGGCGCAAAGTCCCAAAGCAGCATTTCTGTTTGGCTCTGTTCGCCTGCAAAGCAAACACTGGCAGATTGGAATTCCCACTTGGGCTCTCACCAACTCAAACAGGCTTGGCCCAGACCTTCAGTTGATTTGTGTGGGGCAGAAGGGGCTCTGCTTGCCTGGCCCTGGCTTGGAAAGCAGGAACCTCCTTCCCACCCCCAGGCCTGGGGTCCAGCAGGGCTGTCCCTGGATGGCTCCTTCCACCTCAGCCTGCCAGCCTGTTGATTTGGGGGCTGCAGTGGGATGCAGGGGACCTGGGTCTGAGTCATCTTCTGGTCATGCCCAGGCCCTCCCTCAGTGCCCATGGGGAGGATCTAGATTCTGAGGCTGGAGGTAATTGCAAGATGGCCGGATTTCTTTTCCTTCCTCCCTTCCTTCCTCCCTCCCTCCCTTCCTTCCTTCCTTCCTTCCTCCCTCCCTCCCTCCCTCCCTCCTTCCCTTTCTTCCTTTCTTTTTCCTTCCCTCCCTCCCTTCCTTCCTTTTTCCTCCCTCCCTCCTTCCTTCCCTCTCTTTCCTTCTCTTTTCTTTCCTTCCTCTATCCCTCCCTCCCTTCCTTTCTCTCTCTCTCTCTTTTTTACAAAAGATGTTTTACCAAAGGGTACATATACTCACCAGAGAGAGAGGAGAATAAGAAACCACCCCTCAGGGGGGTGGCCATGCCACAACTCCTTCTCCTTTCAGGATTTTGGGCACACGTGTATACACGCTGGACATGTTTTTCAAGCCTTTGGGTCTGGGATTGGAACTGCGGAGTCAGTCACGTGGAATCCAGTGCCTTAGCCACCACGCCACCTGCTGGTCCCTGGATTTCTTGTTTATACTGCTTAGTGATGTCTCCAGCAGGAAGCAGTCTCTATATTGTGGGTATCCAGGCAGTGACTGAGAACAGAAGCTCTCCTGTTACTCCAGCGGCCCTAGGATCTGGCCCTGCCATGCTGGAAACCATGCATCTTGATGGTATCTTCAGGCGCAGGTGAAACAGGATTCCTTCTGAAGCAAACGGGCCTTCAGTGGGTCAGGTTTTGCTTTCTGTGGCACCTCTGCCTGTTTCAGGCTCTGTCCTGGGCCCCAAATGGGCCTACTCCTTCGTCCTGCAGGCTCTCAAGAGAGAAGATGGCTCTAAATTCCTAACTAGGCTACTCAGAAAGGAGAGGTGGTGCCTGATTCTAGTCATAGGAGTTGGAAGATGGGGAAAGAAGATAAATGTGATGGGGCAAGACCGATCAACACACGAGCCTCTCCACTCTCCCCCACCTGTGCCGTGACTTCCTGAGTTCCATCTCAGACGTGTCTAGGCTCTAGGAGAGTGGCAGAGAGCTGGGACTGGAAGGCTGCGGGGAAAAGGGAGGAGTCTTGCTTTCTTGGCCAGCTCCTGGATTCTCCTCCTTGGTGGAAAATCAGAGAACACTAAGAGACCAACAAGGCTTGGTGACTGTGCAAGGAGCTGGGATGAGAAGGAAGCAAAGGCTGTGGCCTGGGAGTCTGGGACTTTTGGACAGCGGTTCTGACACAACTGGCGTGCGAGACCTCGAGAAGGGAGAATAGGGCGTTGTTCTAGCCCGTTCTATTGCTAGTAACTGAAAACACCCAAAGTGGGTCACTTAAGAGGGTAGAGGTTTATTCAGCTGACGGTTTGGACAGCCAGGGTCCAGGGGCCACTTCCTGTAACGTCTTGCAGAAGCCTGAGGCATCACATCACAGGGGCCTGAGCAGAAGGTCTGTGTCCACATGTGTGTCTATTCCAGCCTCATCCCCTCTCCTTATAGACCCACCACACGTCGATCATAGGGCCTCACTCCCATCGCTTTAGTCACTCCCAAGGCTCCACTTTCAATGCCATGAAGGGATTTTTCTCTTACTACCTTCACAACCAACTCTCAACACGAGAATTTTGCAGGGACACAAAATCACAGTAGGCATTTCAAATATGCTTATGGGTTAAGAATTCCGGGCCAATTCCATAGCCTACTAGTTCAGGGAGCTGGATCCTACGTGGCCAACTGTGATTTGAGTCTTGACCCTGGTGGCTTAAAAACTGGCTTGGGCATGTGTGCACGCGTGCCCCAAATCCCAACAGGGTGAGAGGGAGGGGAAGGGATTGTGGCATGACCATGCCGCGCTGGGGAGTGCTTTCTCCCCCTCCCTCTCTGGTGAGCACATGCACCCTCTGGCAATTAAAATAAAAAGAATCAGATCCCCATCCTTGTTCTCTCTGAGATGCAAATAATGATTGTAATGATTTTGAAATTATTTTTAAAAATTCTTTGGAAGACAGGTCTTGCTCTGCCTTGATCCTTCTGCCTCAGCTTCCTCAGCAGCTGGGACTGCAGATGCACACCATGTCTAGCTTTCAGGGGTCTGGGACGGAAACCTGGGCCTCCCATGTGGCCTCAGCCTGCAGAGCGGCA